ATAGATAGAGGATGCTCCCTCGGATATTAAGTGCCTCCCGTTATACATAGGTGAGTTCTAAGCCTAAAACGTACGCAGTGTTGCATGTGGACAAGCACGAAAATTTAACAATTATTATTCGATCTTCCCATAAGATTTCGATGGGTATTTCTACGCGTTACAAACATATCCCAGACTTAACATATCCTCTATGGTGAGTATAACAATGTTAAGTTTTTTTATAAATTTAGCCTAGCGAACATAGTCTGAGAAGTATGGTTGTTTGGTTTATTAACAAATATTTGTATTTTGTGGAAAAAAAAAATTCATCCTTTTATATGCAAATGAAAATGAAAATATGTGAAACATACATATCGACAAGGATTGGTCAATGCATAAGGAAGGACTATATATATATATGTATATGCAATTTACGAAAATAAATTATCTCAGTTAATGATGTAAATAATTCCTGAAACGTTGTTAAGCGACTCAAACTCTCTGAACCTTTCTATCGCTAAGGATCTCTAAAATTGCAGGAAGTATGAAACAGCTAATGGTCTTTTCAAAAATACTTAAATATCATGAAAAAAAATCCTCTAGTCCATAAGAAATGCAAGGGCTATGAGGCCGAGGTTTGTTGTTTCGTTATTCCTTGAGTAAATCTTTAATGCAGGCATGCCTATTCGGCCACCTATCCGCTGTAAGAGGGATAACGGTCTCGAAGGTTGAAGCAAAATGCTGTACACATGTTCTTCACCTTTAAAATCCATTGGTAAACGAAGACAGACGTTTCCGTTTATAACATTTAAAGGCACTTTAACTTTCCCTTCCCCTTCCTCTTTTCGTACCTTTCCTTTACAAAGAGACGTTATCGAACAATTTTTGGCAAGTGCCGACCCGAATATAAAATAGTGATAAAATAATTTGCCGAAAATGCTACGCTTGTTTGAATTCGGGCGGCACCATTTGTAGCAAGAAGAAATATCTACACATTATAATTCGTTCTCCAAAAAGTCGTTAATACAGATTGTTTGAGTGTATGCCTCTGTCCGGAAAAACATTGTCGCTTTAAAAAAAAAGCAAAGAAAGCCTTAAGTATATTTTCTACTTACTTAGCAAAAACTTGACGAAATTCAATTTGCAATTTTGTGTATCATCAAAATGCTACATAGAAGAAAATTTATATATTGCGTGTTGTTTCTTATTCAATTAAATTTTTTAAATTCTTTATGTTCATTTAAATTTTTGCCAGATGATTGCACTTTGTTTCTTTTTCATTAACAGATGATTATGCTTGAGTATTTCTGCGTGCGCATATCCGCGAAGACGACAACTTTTTTCTTTTCATTTCAAGCTGGGTGCATTTGACAGAGATCTTACGTTAATTTTTATATTTAACAGAGATTTCACAGTAAAATGCATCGAACGCAAAAAAGTCGATCATATATATAATATTATAATTCTTAGCTAGTAACCCCATTTAAAGGTGACCATACGGCCATCGATAATATTGAAAGCTGTGAACGCCCAAACCCTGTTTTGATTACAGCAGAAAACATGAAAAAAATTCCCGTGAAATGTCTTCGACAAAACTGCAAGAGATAGTTCTCAAAATGCTGCGCATAACGCACCATCTTTTGAAGTTCAGATTGCTGTTGCACTCGTCCCGTTCTGTAAATCTGACACCCGGCGACTTATACGCTGTTCCGCTGTACCACAAGCGATATAAGATAGGCTATATTAAGCTACTTCGGATATGTGTACCACGCACAAGCGCCTCCAACACCATTAAACATTACTTTGGGGGATTTCATGTGAAGATGCCAATAAGCCAATAAATTTGTGGCATATATGTCCAGATAATAAACAGTAGTAATTATTGGTAAGAAACATGTATAAGAGATAACAGAAAAAAATCGTCCTTAATAGCTAATGCCGATGTGTTAAGTATACTTGTGTGTGTGTATTTGTAGGTTTTTGAGCTGTTGAAAGTCATGTGAAACAAAAAAAAAAAATCGTGTGCACACTTTGGCTGAAAACAAAACAGGAATGTTATAGCAAAAGAAAATTAATGAACGCAAAAAATAATTTCTCATACATTGGAACGATAAATTCGCTTTTTCAATAAAGCAGGTTAGTTCCCCGAGGAATCGAGAAGACCGTCATATAATTTGAAATAGTTAAAAGAACTTCTAATACCATCAAGCCTATGACATCTGAAAATTAGATGGCCAGCAGACTCGATAATATTGCAAACTTCACATATATATACTTTATTATAAGTGCGACCACTCATAGAGTGTATAGGGAAGTTTGATTTCCCAGCAATTAAAGGAAGCTCCTGAAAAGATTTTGAATTGAAAGGTGGGATTTATTTTATAGCGAAGGCGATTGGATTTAACACATGCAGTCTCTTCTTAGATTCATCATTTAGTTGTTGAGAGATGTGGTTGCGAGTTGCCCATATTACTTCAGTGGGAGTGTATTTGATGGATGTCCCATCAAGTTGAGCACTTTTTGCATGAAAATCGGTGTTTTCATTATTAAAAAGACCGCAGTGACCAGGTGTCCAAACAAGATGACAGTCATCCACTTGAGATTTATGTGACCTCCTGCGTATATCATAAATATATTGATTCTCTACGCCTTATTAGAAGTAGAGCTGACTAGCTATCTGGAAAATTAATTACTTCGAGTAGGAAAACAAGTAAGGACACCATACTATAAAAAGTTCGACTACAGTGCCTCTATCTGTTGGCAAATTTGAAAACAATATCAAAGGCAAAAAATAAAATGTAAAATGTCACCATCGCCTATGTCGACGATCTTCTTTGAGACTCAAACCTTTCGAACAAAATTCGCCAAGCCGCCCATGGAAGGTGCAAGCGGGTTCACTTCTCAAGCTATCACACAAGCTTTTAGAAGCAACCGATGCGTTGCTTCCTTTCTGAAATAATACCCCACTTCACGATTTCTACCTGCTTGCTTTCATTTGAAAAGCTGGTGGTAAAATACAACGGAGCCTCCTCCCCCACCTATTATATCCAATGACCGTCCAATTCGATTGGCAATTTTTCAATTGTCTTTTTAGAATGCTAACCATAATCACAATAATAGATTGGACTACATCCAGCATATATGTATTGAAGTTTTTGAGGATGTATACAACACCCGGAAGGCCTTGTGGCAGACCCAGCTGGTATTGTACTGATCAATTCAGTATCAATTTACAATCGATCCAAGCTTGTCTGTCCACCTATTCGTCTTGTTTTCTTTTCTTTACCCTGCATGTTGAAATTATTGAAATATTTTGATGAAAATTTTCATACACCGACATGCAATCCTATTTCCATATAGTGATGTCATAAATGCTTTCTATGGTTGCTCTTTGGCTGCACAAATAGAATCTTAAAATAAAAACTGAAAAATCTACGCATATTACGTTCGTGCTAAGTTAAGGTTTTTGTTCGGATCGGACAGATTTTTCGACTACTTCCCACATAATATCTTATTTTGAAAAGTCCTTATATAGCAATCTGTAGAGTGATGTACGGTGTTTAATTGTAGACCATGTCCCATGAACAGAATAGAAGGGAGAGTACGGAATTTTTCAGCTTAAAGTTTTCTTTCGCTTACGTGCATATCTAAGTTTTGTTAATCATTGAAACTGTCAAAACTATACGACCAGAAAAGTATATTGTACGACCAGAAAAGTATACAGTACGACCAGAAAAGTATACTGTACGACCAGAAAGAAAGAATTCGTGTAAAACAATAATATGTTCTCTCATAATAAATAGGTAATCTCTTGATTTCGTTACAAATTGCAATTTACTTCTAATTGAAGACATATGCTATAAAAACAAAATATGTAGAAAAATAATTGAAATAATTTAAAATTTATCGATGGTTATTTTATTGCATTGTTTAGGAATTTTTCTTAGTTAAACTTAAAACTTAAGTTTCGTGCTTCTCCAAAATAATAAAGATTACGTTGTTAAAATAATTTTTAACATACCTTTAGGCATTAAGTAAACAAAAATTTTTTTAAATAAATAAATCTTTGTTTCATAATTCCACAGTAGATTATTTCGTGAAAATTTTACGTTAAAACTTAGGAAAAAATAATTCAATATTAGGAATGTTTTAGTAGAAATTCGCATTGGTTTGGATGAAAGATTTCGACTCAAGCAATAGAAATCTATACATATTTAGCAGCAAAAAACTTGACATGACTTATTAAATGTAAAGTTATGTATTGACAAAAGGTAGGGATACACGAAAATGGGGATAATTTGTCAAAACGTTTTATACACCCAGAGAGAAAGTGTCGAAGATTCCCTAAAGTATATATTTTCTTGATCAGCAACAAATTTTAAACCGATCTAAGCATCTGTCTATTTCGTTTGTCTCTCTGTCCTTCCGCGTAATGTCTGCGGGAAACATTCTCCTGGTCGCAAAGCGGAAGCTAAATGCTTCAAACATTAGAAGTTCTTGGACG